TAAAAAGATATGTAAATAATTTAATAATAATCTTACGATTAAAAAAATGATATGATGAATGCATGATTATATTAAATATAGTTACTACAATTATATCACACTAGCACTTACACTTATTTAGTGCAATTTGGTATTATTTATTTTTTATAAAATTAAAAAAAATTATTGGTTAAAAATTTAGAAGCGGAAGTTGTTTCGTGAACTTTGAAGAATTAAACATTATATATTCATCTATTTTATCACAAATAATTTTGAAAAATAAATGTGTATAAGTTGTTATACTTATATAAATTAATCTTATTTAATATAAAACATACATTTTTTATTTACACAAACTATTATTTATACCTTTATAAAAGTGCTTTCTGGAAAGGCACACAAATTCGATATATATTCCAAGTTTTTGAACATGGGATACCATGCAATATAATCTGTATCTTGCCGTAGATATTGTAAAATATTCAAGAAAAGATTCAAATTAAATTGGCCTGACATCACAAAATGAAATATGTCATCGATGATTTTAGCGCGATTGAGAACATGTATTTGTCTAAATAAATATTTATTGTTTAAGTATATTGAAAGTCTATTCCAATTCTCGGCATCGTATTTGACACGATAATATCCTGTGAATAAGTAAATTATCAATAAATTATTAAATTTTTTTGATTGTATTTATCAAGTAATGCTTTTTGAAATATCTGTTGAAATGTCTTTTTGTTATATTTATGTTATATATATTTGTGTAGTGTTATATTTGTTTGTATATTGTTACATTCATATATGTTATATATTGTTATATATTGTTATATTTGTATGTTGTTATATTTTGTTGTATCTGTATTTTTATTATGTTCGTAGCGTATAAAGAAATATTTATTAGAAAATGTGATTACTACAAAAAGTAAACTACAGATTATCAGTATAATTATAATTGTTATACTGATAAGTCAATGTATTTATAAAGACAAAAAGCATTATATCAATTTAAATTTATTTTCATTCATATTAATATGAGCGTCCGCAAGGGGGAAGGGCGGCTAGCGGTGCAACCCTCTGGAAAACAAAAAAAAATTTATAACCATAATTTATTTCATATTTTCAATGCCTACATTCCTCATTTAACAAAAAAAAGTATTTTTCTCGATTTACATCTACATTGTCGCGGTAAGAAAGTTTTAATACTAAAAGGTGGATAAATATCAAAGCATACATTTCAATCAATCTGAATAATATTTTATGTCATGCCTCCCCTGAAAAAAATTGTGCGGACGCTCTTGCATGTTAACCAATAATGCCAGACAAATTATACTACATGCTTTGTTGTGTGTAACACTATATCGTATGTACACTGAGAAAAAAAATCTGGTTGCATTAATTAGAAATATGATAGATTCAACCTGTATGTTTGTTGGAAAATGAACGAATTAGAATTTCTTTAGGAATTACCAGATATGTATGATTAATTTCTTCCTAAATTTCTAGTTGTTTCTATAAAACTTCTTGTTTAGAATAAATTAACCAAATTTATTGAGTAATAATAATACTAAATTTACAAAAAAGATGGCATCACTGTGTCCATGTTTAGTTAGGAAGAAGTTTTAGAAGATCCAACTAGAAAATATTAAATCCTTGTAATAAATTCTATTAAAAGATCTAGTTATAAAAAATCGAGTCTTATCATAATAACTAGAAATTTTGCTTGGTTTAACCAAAATACCTTCTATTAGATATTCTATCTTGTTAGTCAATCAAACGATTTTTCTCAGTGTATATTTTAGATTGTTGAATTTTTAATATGACAGTCAAAGAACCATTCTGACTAATTCCAATCAAAATTTTACTGTTACAAAGAACTGAACATTTAACTTTCTTTTTGTGTTTATTGTGCTTGAACAATATTGGAAAATTGGTCAATTTTCCCGAATCTCCAAAACCACTCCATTTCAAAGTTTTTTTCAGATTAATGTACCATACTATTGTTTGTCATACAAATTGATTACAATTTCAAGGACCACAAAATAGGCATATTTGGGATAATTTCTTTTGGTTTACATAATAAGTGTATAGACTTAATTCTCAATTCTAGATTTTTAACAAATCCATTTTTACACTTCTGAAGAAGCGTAAAGATGGCGAGAAGAATAACGAGTTGATTCAGTGAATCGGGAATCGAACTCGAGTCTTTCGCCTACATTTCTCAAGAGCGTGAAAAGAAGAATAAAAAATATCGAATTGAGATTTAAATATTACACTTACAATTAGTATGTAAATCAAGAAAAATTTGAGTCTTGTCCTCAATTAATCAGTTTCATCGAAAAATTAATATTCGATGACTTAATATTTGCATCTGGTTCTTATTTGCCGCGAAATAGAAATAATAAAGATATACTATTTTAATAATAATAGCAGAAAATGTTTTGCACATTTTGTAAATACTCTATACATATTTTGCCGCATATAGAATTAGTTATATTTATATGGCATTTAATGTACTTTGTATCTTTAAAATAAAAAATAGATATCGAAATAAAAACTGAATAAATATCGTTGATAGAGGATAAATTTATCTATAAAATATATGTAAGAACAATAAATGTATTGATCCATATTTACCACTTTCTTGTGAATCGACTAAAATCCAGTCATCCTTAATTACAGAGTCGAAAGTCAGCATATGATTTGAAATATGTGGTGGCATTAACCATATTGGATGCACAATTTTCTCCAAAAGAAAATATGTTTGCGTAGTAATGCTTATAGGTATGGATATATTTGTATTAAAATTTTCTACTGATATATTCAAACTGAAAGTATTATAATCTCTTTTCACATTTATCACAGGACAGTGATTTAGTTCTGCCCAATTAGGTATTTTGTCTTTTAGAATATAATTGTATTTAACTCCGAAAGATGTATCATAAAGTACAGTCTGCATATCTATCCAGAAATCATTAATGCCTATGTACCTAAAAATCCAAACAGAAATTGAACCTTAAGAAAAGATAAATAAAAGAAGATATATATTTGAAAAAGTATTGAAAAATAATTAAGATATTTAAAGAAAAGAAATGTAGAAAAAGGAGGGACAGAATAAAATCAAACAGAATTGGAAAAATCGGAAAAATGTTAATAGCAAATAGTAGAAAAGAATAAATGGAATAATAGACAAAGAAGATAAGTATATCACATGAAGTGCGAAAAAAAATATATAAATATTAAAGATAAAAGAAGTAAGAAAATTTAAAAAACTAAACAAAAAATTATAATATTAGAAAATGTAGGAAAAGGAGATATAAAAAAAAATTAAAAAAATTGAAAAAAGATTAAGATAATAAGAAAGAAAATAATAATAAGATGGAAGATAATAAAATAGAAATTAAAATTTCAAAAATATAAAATTAACAAGTCTTGAAATTACTAGTAGAAATTAAATGTAAGAGAAGGTAGGAGCATAAAGGAGAACAGAGGAATAAAAAAATGGATGGAGAAGTAAAAATACATATGAAAAATTAAAACATAAAAATAATTATGAAAAAGAGCAAAATTAAATTATCATTAAAAAATATGTGTTTAAAATAATAATGTAATTATATTGTAATCTATACTCACTGTTTTTGTAAATACGTTTTGACACCATTTTCGAACATCTTTTTGGTGAGTGTATTTTGCAATGTGTATAACATAATGCTCACTACGAAAATTAATAAAGTATAAAATGTAATATGTATAAATAAATTTAAATTCAGGAACATAACTAAATTACATATGATAAATAAAAATTAATCTTAGTTTAATTTTCCTGGTAAACGTTAATACTTATATAAATAATAATAATTAAATCATAACTAAATTATTTTTCTTCTTATAATTTTAATATTATATGTAGGAATAAAGAATTTATGACAATAAATAGTTTGCTTGATTATACCTTTAATGTTACAAGGTAATTCAAACGAATTATTAAACTGTGATTTAAGCGGCCATGTGTCTTTGGTACTCCAGTGAAGAACATCATGTTGCATTTGAACTACAAAGAAATCCTGTATCCTAAAGTGTGGAAAAATCTGGACGACAAGATTTTAATATAATTAAACAAATATTTAATCATAAGAAATGCTCACACATAGGCAATACGCATTAAGAACTATTATAATATATTAAAAAATATTTACAAGTTCATTTGCTCTTTAAATTTTTCTTATTAAGTTTAAAAAATTTATTCAAAACCTGTAATAATATGTAATAATATATAATAATAATTATGCATTTCTAAAGTTATTTAATGGTGCATATGTAAATATAAATAAGTATAATATTTTAATTTATTATTACTTTACTGACAAGTTTTGGCTCAATCGTTATAGAGTACAAATTTTAAATTTTAATTTTATAAAAGAATCATCTTCCGATCTAAATTAGTATATTATGAATAATAGAAAATATTCATAAAGATTTTGGAATGATTTATTGCATATTACATAAGATTTTTTATATTTTTATATCACTCTGATCGTAATTAATTAAAAGAATTAACGCTAAATATAAAATAACCTTATTGGCGGCGTAGATTCCAAGGAATGTAGCAAAACCTTTCCTTAAACACGGATCCCACTTATATGGAAAGATTGCATTATAAAAAAACCATTCGTGCACCACTTTACATCCTATTATTCGTATTATTTCAAATTTGCGCATCTCAGGATCTATTTCTTGATCAAAGATAATATCTGCTTCACTAAAAATAATTTACAAATATTATAATAAAGTAGATAAAACCTGTTATATATATATATATATATATATATATATATATATAAATCAATTATATCATAAAGTAATTATGTTTCTATTAAATTATATTTTAGTTAATACACACAGATATCGAATTTTGTAATATCGAAAAAAAATTATGTGTTTTAATTTAGAAATTAGTATATTTTGTAAATCAAAATATGTTTACTTATAAAGAATGAGTCCCAACTTTATCTCTTCTACATCTAACAACTTCGGAATCGCGATATGATTTGTTTCTGGTGTTTTTCTGATATATGGAAATATATTTTTTAATAATTGCGCAATTTTTTGAATAACTGTGTATGCAAATATCATATGTGATATTGTGTTTGTTCTGCAAAACAATTTGAGATTCTCACTTGTATCTTGATTAAAGCGGACATGTACCACATTCGCTGCTATCATCAGGCCGAAATCATCAGGCATTATGGGAATACTTTCGAAATGTGACCATATCATATTATTTATGTCTATATTCACTGCTCTTACGGGCATATTTGATAAAGCCGTGTAATTTTTATGATGCTTTATAGAAATGTTATAACTAACATATCCAGTATCCTTCAAAAGAGGAAATAATCTTCGAGTCATAAATGTTTGATAATGCGTTGCGGCCAACCACCTAGCATATATAGAAGTACATTTTGTATAACATAATTTTTCGGTTATTATTAAAGTATTAGAAATTTTAAAAGAAAAATAGAAATTGAAAAATATTAATGTATTTTAAGGATAGTGCTTCAAGAATAGTTGTAACACATTTTGTATTACAATTTTATTATTATATTATTATATCTTTTTAGTGTATAATTTAATATAACTTATCGTAAAAATTTTGTATGATATTATACATATATTATATCTTTATGATGTTACACATATATTATGATACACTATAATATTTATGTGTACATAACAATATAATAATATAATATAATAATATAATAAATATAATAATATGATAAATATAATAATATGAAATATTTTACAGCATATAAAATATAGTAAATATAAAATATAAAGTAAATATAATAATATAAAATATTTTACAGCATATATTATAGTATTTAAAATTCCATCATATTTATGTATAATTAATATCTGTCTTGAATTGAAAAGTTGTTGATAATAAGAATATTATATATGCTTGCACAATTCAATAAATGATTTTTCCGATTTAGTTATTTATCAATTTTTTGCAAAATTTAACTTTTTTAAGAGAGAGTGAGGACTGTATTTAAATAATAATTTATTAAATCATACGATATATGTTAAAATTATGTCTTGGTATCAATAATGCGAATTGTTTACAAAGAATTGAAGCAAGAAACAAACGGTATTCATAACACATATAAACATTTATTACATATGGTGTATATAGCTAATTGTTTAATATTTGATAAATATCTCACACTCTGTTATATTGTTGATTCATATAAAAAGTTCTAAAGCCTCCATTTTCAGCTAAAAGTCCAATGAACTTCATGTTCAGAGTGTGATATCCTCGTGGTAAATCATATAAAAAACAAATGCGGGTTCCATATGTTTCAGTGTCATGGATTAATTTCTTAGGTCTATGGGCAAAAACTTTTTCTTCATTTCCTTTAGATATTTGTGTATTTTCTGTTACTATAATTTCAGTTATACCCAAATTTTCCGTCTCAATGTATATACTTGGCATTTTATAAGGAATATAAATGCTGACATTGCATTCGCCATAGAATATATCATCGTTGACATATAGCATAAATTTGATGTAGTAATGTAACGGTGATATGTTGAGTGTCACCAATGGTACAGGCAAATCAAAATTATTATTAATAACAGCTACCGCTACGATGAATATCAAATTGCAACTTAACACTCTCAAGAATGCCATGTCATTCGTTTCAAATATCTAGAAAATAAACATCTTTTCTTCTTGAAAGAAGAGACTTATTGCTTTTATTACATATAAATAAAAAAAGTAAATAAAATATATTTAATAAAATATATCCTTAGGATAAAAGAATTATGATCTTCCATTATAAATTTAATAAACGCATTTGCTTTAATTTAATTTTATTAAATTTAATCGTATCACAATACACATTCAGTAAGTAACCGTTTTATTTAATTTTAAATTCAATTGAAATCATTTAAATAATAATACAATATGCACATTTCTCTCAAATTAGAATCTTCTCTTTTTAATAGTTTTAATAATGAAAAAAACTGCCTTTTTTGGCGAAATATAACTATGCTTATTATATATTTGTACCTCGAAATTATTTAATTTGTCCTCAGTTTATAATGTACATATTTTAGTTCTTTTCTCTTTTTGAAAATAGCTATGTATTCTGTTTTATTATAACTTACCTTGTATATTATAATGTCAGCCGATCAGAATTTAATTTTCTATATTAGATAGTATATAATTAAGTATAATTAACTCTTTATTATTTCAAATTTTATTAATATCGAAAATATATTTATATTAACTTGATCTTGCTGTTTCAGGATACTATTAAGAAGTGTCAACGTTCGACATGTGATATCACAATAAACACGTTACAGAAACAACTTTGAAAATCAAAATAATATAAAATTAGTTTAATACTTGTCTTACCAGTCAATAAACATCATAAAATGTCAGTATATGATTAAATCTAATAAACTTTCTGATATATATATATATATATATATATATATATATAATTTTAAAATAATTTTGAAACCCATTTAGAATAATTAAAAAATTGTATTCTCCCTATACTTTTATATTTTTTCTTATTAGTAAACACTCCAATGCCATTTATATCTTAATTTACTGGCCCTATTTGTAAATTTACAGTCAATATCAAGAAGTTTCTTATTGAATAAATAGGACATAAAGCAGATTTCAAAAAAAAAATTCGAAATAAGTTTTAGAAATAAATTTTGCAAATTATGCAGTAAATGTTATATAATTTCGTATTTTTGTAAATGTATATAAATGTTAAACTATTGTACCAGTAAAAAAATATATGCAACGGAAAATAAAACTTTTTAAAATAATTAATTTTCAAATTTATCAAATTTTTCATATTACAAGATTTTACATATATGCTATATATTTATTATAATTATGTCAATCCTAAAAAAGTGTCAAGAATTGTAGATATGTTTTAAGAGGGTTTCAGTTGCTTACTTTCCCGATTGCCAACAGGTGTTATTGCATACACGAAAAAAATGAAGTTGCGAAGGTACGGCATATATGACATTATTGGGCACATACACACTGCACACATGATATTATTGTATACATGCACAATGCACACATGCATATTGCACACGTGACATTATGGTATGTATAAAATAAAAAAATTCTATTATTATATCTTTATTTTATCTCGAGGATTGATTTAATTCACCCAGTGATTTGGATCTGATTATACACAAGAGTCAGAACAAACTTAATATATTTAAATATATTTCTTACATATTATATCTTTTATTTGAGAAATCGAAAATATTTTGTAATTTGTAATGAATATTATATACAATTGCTAGATCCTCGAAATTGCCTAGGGATTGCAAAAGTCTTAATCAGAATGTATGTACGTAATAATCTCAAGTAGATAGAGGTTTGCTTTAGAATCGACATAGAGTTGCAGTGTCTGCGAACAAATCTTTCTTATTATCTGATGAACAAGTTAGTTTTTTCAATACAAAAGTAATAATCATAGCAAAACGATAATAAAGGCTGTCTAACGCACAGCCACAGAATAATAGCCACAGAACTCGAAATGTTTAAAAGTCATCGTAAAAGATCCAGAAATTATTGAATTTTATGACAAATATTAAATAAATTAAATAACCAAATAACCATTAAATAATCAAATAATTGCATTTAATTAAAATTTGATTCTGAAAAACTAACAATCAGAGAAAGACTGTATTAAATGATGAGATAATGTAATGTGTTTATATAATGCTATATAATTTAAAAATATTAATTTTGATATATTAATATCCATTTTAATATATTGCTATCTTGCATCTATATATTGTTATCTGTATTGTATGAAGCAACAGCGATTTCAGCAAGTTAATGCTATTAATCCGCGCTATTGTATTTATTTTACTAATTTATAAATCATTTACAATCGTAATAAATGATAGTGGCATAGTTTTAATCAATAATCGAATATCCTTCATTTGTATTTAAAATAGATTATAATTTTATAATAATATATATAATATTTTGCCAATTTTTTAAAATACTACTTGTATGTGATAATTAAAGGAGAATATTTTTAAAGATAAATGTTGATATGTATGTCTATATAATGCACTTATAATGCATCATATTATTTTAGGAGCATTTAAAATATTTCAATTCTCATACGAATTTTATAAAATTTTGTTTTTAAGATATTCATGATAAAGAATTAAATAAAAGCTGTTTATATATAACTGTTGATATAAAGATAAATATACATACATGGTAAAAAACATTTCTGTTAAAATTTTCTCGTGTAAAAATTTTTGTATTAAATTTTTAACATACTCTTATGTTGATGTAACATATTATCATTGCGTTATTTTGACACTTCTGCATTGAGTTAATATTCACCGTTTTTAAGAGTTAAAACAACATACAATTAATATGTAAATGCACGAAATTGATGAAATATGTTATATGTTAAAATGAACAGATAAGTTGTGTTATTTTTCTCTCTATAACAGTTTCCATATGTTAAATCGACATATTTCTTCTGTTATTGATCATAAAAATGTAAGAATAACATTTTCTTTTAATTAAATTTAACATTATATATATGTTAATTTAACATAAACTTTATTTCCACATAAATTTAAGTGTACACTTTTGTGTAATTTTTGAACATATTACTTATGTTATTTATTTACATATTTGCCTTCTGTTAAATTAACTTTAAAATTAAAATGGATAAATTGAGACACGTGAAATATCTTAAATTTAACACAAAATTTTTTACTGTGTAGGCATTACATTTCATTATCTCTTCTTAATTTGATTAATCATCCCAGCTTTGTGTAAGAATATCTTCCAAATTTTCCGCTAAGTGTCGAAATTCATACAACTGAATTTTTATTTGATTCCAACGTAGTTTCAGTTTGTCTTTTAGGTATATTATTATATTTTCCTTATACTTTGTCTTAAATAACAAACATTTGTTTACCTAAAACAGATTATTTTAACATTTATTTTCAATAGTAATTTCTTTTGCATAAATATTTACCAGGATTTCTGGCTATTAGCATAATTAGAATAAGGTAGTAGTGATACATATATATACAAAGATGAATAAGCTTATGTTAATAAAAAATTAATAACTAAATATGTCTAAATATGTCTAAACTTACAAACCTCATCATTGTTTTGATTGTCAGTATTACAATAAACCAGAGACTGTACATTATCCCTGAAATCAATTTCCATGTTTATCTAGAAAAATTATTTGTTAGATTAAAATATATGTAGTAGTTTTTTACTTGGTAATATAATAAAAATTGTTATAATATAACTTGTCTTTAGTTTAATTACGTTACAAAACGTTTATCAACCAAAACTTTGAATTAATATCTCGAAATTTTACGTGGTTTTTCGTTAAATATAATATAAGACTTTCTAGTTCAGATTAACGAGATATACTTATGGTTATTCTTTGTTTCACGATACCAGAAACATTCTGTGTGTGTGTGTGTGTGTGTGTGTGTGTGTGTGTATACTGATGTATCAGTTTGAAGGAATAAATAAATAAATTTACATATAAGTTTTTGTATCTGAGATTTTAAAATTTACCTTTTTAATTTGTTCCATAGAATATACGTGGTTAATAATTATAGTTAATGCTGTAGTAATACTGATTTCTCTATAAAAACAAAATAACATAGATTTATAAAACATCCAATAAAATTTGATTCTCTTTATAACTCAAATATAAACAGTCATTTTCAATGTATTTTTGCTTGATGAGCACAATTTCCAAAGCCGGTTATTACACCATAGATTTAAGAAAAATAACATCAGAAAGTCCAGATGAAATCGAATGTTCTCATGACACAAACAACTGCATTTGAAATATGAAAGTTTACACTGTTGCATGGCATTTTAACAAATTTTAGAAAAAAATAAAATTAAAATAAAAATTAAAATAAAAAATAAAATAAAAATAAAAAATATATACTGTATATATTTATAAAATGTAGTGTCACTTACTCAGGTTTTATATCTTCCAAATTTCTTAATATGAAATCAAGCATTAAGTTATTCTTTGCATGCCTTGCAATAATAGAACAAAAACTTTGTATATGGCGGAAAACTTTTATTTTTTCCACAACAACACCAAATTTCATTAAATACATATAGTTTTGAATGATAACAGAATTTGTGGAACAAGCTAGGAACTTTAAAACACTATAATCAGATTTTATCCAATACATAAGAAATACTTTCTTCCAAACATCCTCATCTGCTGCTTTCAAACCATTGCAGAATATCCATTCTTTCCATTCCGTCCAAATTCTACGGTTATTCAAAATGAAATAAAAATAAATTATTAGAATTTATAATCAGATATCTTGATAACATATATGAATTATAAAATACTTCACAAGATAGAGAAGAATACGAGAAAAAATTTATAAAATGATCGTGATAAAAAATGTGCAAGAATTAATTACTTGTATAATGAATCTTTATCATCATTTGAGACATATGACATTAATTCATAATTGGCGTTCGTCAAGCAAGTGGCATCATCCATGATACATAACCATCTTGCAATCTCTTCTCTAAAAGTGTTTTTCAAATCGGTGTTTTGATTAATTTTACCTGCTTTAAAATTGGGATACCCTATTTTCCTCATAATCACAATTAATGGTTGTTTTATCTTCGCCTAAAAATTATGTAAATAATATATACAAAATCTTTATATGTTTATTCATTTATTCTAGAAGAAAAGAGAAACAGTTTGCGTGCATGCACGTATGTTATTATTTATAAGAAGATATGCAAATAATTTAATAATAATTTTACGATTAAAAGGATGATAATGAATTCATGATTATATTACACTTATAGTTACTGCAATTATAACACACTTACACTTACACTTACTTAGTGCAATATGATATTATTTATTTTTAATAAAATTAAAAATTGAATAAAAATTTAGAAATGGAAGTTGTTTCGTGAACTTTGAAAAATTAAACATTATGTGCTCGTTTATTTTATTAAAAATAATTAAAAAAAATAAGTGTGATATACGTTGTTAATATACTTATATAAATTAATATTATTTAATATAAAATACACATTTCTTTTATTTACACAAACTATTATTTATACCTTTATAACTTTCGCGCTTTCTGGAAATGCAAAAAGATTCGATATATATTCTAAGTTTTTGAACATAGAATACCATGCGATATAATCTGTATCTTGTCGTAGATATTGTAAAATATTCAAGAATACAGTCCTATTAAGTTGGCCTGACATCACAAAATGAAATGTGTCATCGATGATTTTAGCGCGATTGAGAACATGTATTTGTCTAAATAAATATTTATCGTTTAAGTATGTTGAAAGTCTATTCCAATTCTCGGCATCGTAATTGATACGATAATATCCTGTGAAAAAATAAATTGTCAATAAATTATTAAATTTTTTTGATTGAATTTATCAAGTAATGCTTTTTGAAATATCTGCTGAAATGTCTTTTTGTTATATTTGTATATTGTGATATTTGTTTGTATATATATATATATATATATATATATATATATTGTTACATTTATATATGTTATACATTGTTATATTTGTTGTTATATTTTGTTGTATCTGTATTTTTATTATGTTCGTAGCGTATAAAGAAATATTTATTAGAAAATGTGATTACTACGAAAAGTAAACTACAGATTATCAGTATAATTATAATTGTTATACTGATAAATCAATGTATTTATAAAGACAAAAAGCATTATATCAATTTAAATTTATTTTCATTCATATTAATATGAGCGTCCGTAAGGGGGAAGGGCGGCTAGCGGTGCACATGCAACTCCCTGAAAAATAAAAAAAAATTTATAACCATAATTTATTTCATATTTTCAATGCCTACATTCCTCATTTAACAAAAAAAAATATCTTTTTCGATTTACATCTACATTGTTGCGGTAAGAAAGCTTTAATACTAAAAGGTGTATAAATATCAAAGCATACATTTCAATCTGAATAATATAATAATTTTATGTCATCCCTTCCCTGAAAAAAAGTCTACGGACGCTCTTGCGTGTTAACCAACAATGATAGCCAAATTATATTACATGCTTTGTTGTGTGTAACATTATATCGTAAGTACACTGAGAAAAAATCTGGTTGCATTAATTAGAAATCTAATAGATTCAACCTGCATGTCTGTTGGAAAATGAACGAATTAGAACTTCTTTAGAATTTACCAGATGTGTATGATTAATTTCTTCTTGTTAAATTTTCGAAATTTATTGAGTAATAATAATACTAAATTTACAAAAAGATGACATCACTGTGTCCATGTTTAGTTAATATAGCAAGAAGTTTTATAGATCTAGAAAATACTAACCAAATTCTTGTAATAAGTTGTATTAAACGATCTAGTTATAAAAAATCGATTTTTATCGTAATAAACTTGAAATTCTGCTTGGTTTAACCAAAATGCCTTCTGTCAGATATGTCTTGTTAGTACAATCAAACGATTCTTTTCAGTGTATATATTTTATATTATCGGCTTTTTAATATAACAGTCAAAGATCCATTCTGATTAATTTCAATCAAAATCCTACTGTTATAAAGAACTAAACATTTAACTTTCTTTTTGCGTTTATTGTACTTGAACAATATTGAGAATTTGGTTAATTTAGTTTCTCGAATCTTCAAAACTGCCCCTATGCTTCATTTTAAAGTTTTTTGAGAAATATTTAATATACCGTAGTATTGCTTAAAGCCACAAAATAGACGAATTTGGGATAATTTTATTGCTTCATATAATAAGTGTATAGACTTAACATGTAAGACTCTCAATTCTAGATTTTTAACAAATCCTTCTTTCCACTCCTGAAAAAGCATAGGCGAGATGAATAACGAGTTAATTCAGTGAATCGGGAATCAAATTCGAGTCTTTTGCCTACATTTCTCAAGAGCGAAACAAAGAATAAAAAATTTTGAATTGAGATTTAAATATTACACTTATAATTAGTATATAGATCAAGAAAAATTTGAGTCATGTTCTCAATTATTCAGTTTCATCAAATAATTAATATTTGATGACTTACTATTTGCATCTGGTTCTTATTTGTCACGAAATAGAAATAATAAAGATATGCTATTTCAATAATAATAGCAAAAAATGTTTTGCACATTTTGTAAATACTCTATACATATTTTGCCGCATATAAAGTTAGTTTTATTTATATGGCATTTAATATACTTTGTATCTTTAAACTAAAAAATACATATCGAAACAAAAATTGAATAAATATCGCTGATAAAGGATAAATGTATCTATAAAATATATATAAAAACAATAAATCGATCCATATTTACCACTTTCTTGTGAATCGACTAATATCCAGTCATCCTTAATTACAGAGTCGAAAGCCAGCATACGATTTGAAATATGTGGTGGCATTAGCCATACTGGATACACAATTTTCTCCGAAAGGAAATACGTTTGCGTAGTAATGCTCACAGGTATCGATATATTTGTATTAAAATTTTCTACTGATACATTCAAACTGAAAGTATTATAGTCTCTTTTCACATTTACCACAGGATAGTGATTTAGTTCTGCCCAACTAGGTATTATGTCTTGTATACTATAATTGTATTTAACTCCGACAGATGTACTATACAGTACAGTCTGCATAACTTTCCACAAATCATTAATGTCTGTGTATCTGTATGATAAAAATCCAAACAGGAATTGAATGATAAGAAAAGATAAATAAAAGAAGATATATATTTAAAAAAATATTGAGGAACAATTAAGATAATTCAAGAAGTAAAAGTGGAAGAAGGAAAAAGGTGGGACGGAATAAAATCAAGCAGAATTAGAAAGATAGGAAAAATATTAACGGTAAATAGTAGAAAAGAATAAATAGAATAATAGGTAAAAAATATAAGTGTCACATGGAGCGCGAAAAGAAATATATAAATAAAAGAGATAAAAGAAGTGAGAAGATTTAAAAAACTAAACAAAATTATAATATTAGGGAATGTAGGAAAAGAAGATATACAAAAAGAATAAAAAAAAATTGAAAATAGATTAAGATAATAAGAAAGAAAATAATAATAAGATGGAAGATAATAAAATAAAGAAGTAAAAATATATATGAAAAATTAAAACATAAAAATAATTATGAAAAAGAGCAAAATTAAATTATCATTAAAAAATATGTGTTTAAAATAATAATGTAATTATATTGTAATCTATACTCACTGTTTTTGTAAAAACATTTTGACACCATTTTCGAACATCTTTTTGGTGAGTGTATTTTGCAATGTGTATAACATAATGCTCACTACAAAAATTAATAAAGTATAAAATGTAATATGTATAAATAAATTTAAATTCAGGAACATAACTAAATTACATATGATAAATAAAAATTAATCTTAGTTTAATTTTCCTGGTAAACGTTAATACTTATTTAAATAATTAATACTTATTTAAATAATAATATAAATAAATCATAACTAAATTATTTTTCTTCTTATAATTTTAATATTATATACAGCAATAAAGAATTTATGACAATAAATTGTTTGCTTGATTATACCTTTAATGTTACAAGGTAATTCAAACGAATTGTTGAATTGTGATTTAAGCGGCCATACGTCTTTGGTACTCCAGTGAAGAACATCATATTGCATTTGAACTACAAAGAAATCCTGTATCCCATAGTATGGAAAACTCTGGACGTAAAGATTTTAATATAATTAAACAAATATTTAATCATAAGAAATGCTCACACATAAGCAATACGCATTAAGAACTATTATAATATATCAAAAAAATATTTACAAGCTCATTCGCTCATTAAATTTTTCTTATTAAATTTAAAAAATGTATTCAAAAGTACCTGTAATAATATGTAATAATATATAATAACAATGCTTTTCTAAAATTATTTAAAGGTACATATGTAAATACATAATTATAATATTTTAATTTATTATTACTTTTCTGACAAGTTTTGACTGAATGTCGTTATAGAGCACAAATTTTAAATTTTATAAAAGAATATTCTTCCGATCTAAATTAGTATATTATGAATGATAGAAAATATTTATAAAGATTTTGGAATGATTTGTTGGATACATAAGATTCTTAATATTTTTATATCACTCTGATCGAAATTAATTAAAAGAATTAACGCTAAATATAAAATAACCTTATCGGCGGCGTAGATTCCAAGGAATGTAGCAAAACCTTTCCTTAAACACGAATCCCACTTATATGGAAACAAATTATAAAAAAACCATTCGTGCACCATTTTACGTCCTATTATTCGTATTATTTCAAATTTGCGCATTTCAGGATCTATTTCTTGATCAAAGGTAATATCTGTTTCACTAAAAATAATTTACAAATATTATAATAATGTCGAGAAAACCTATTATATACATGTAAATTAATTATTTTTCAATTAAATTATATTTTAGTTAATACACACAGATATCGAATTTTGTATTATAATACTGAATATTGAGAAAAAAATATGTGTTTTAATGTAAAAATTAATATATTTTCTAAATCAAAATATGTTTACTTATAAAGAATGAGTCCCAATTTTATCTCTTCCATATCTAACAACTTTGGAATTACGATATGATTTGTTTCCGGAGTTTTTCTGATATATGGAAATGTATTTTTTAATAATTGCGCAATTTTTAGAATAACTATATATGCAAATATCATATATGATTTCATGTCTGTTCTGCACCACAATTTGATATTCTGACTTGTATCTAGAATAAAGCCGAGAGATACCACACTCGCCGCTATGAAATAATCAGGCATTATTGGAGTACTTTGGAAATGTGTCCATATCATTTTACTTTTGTCTATATTCACTGCTCTTACAGGCATATTTGATAAAGCCGTGTAATTTTTATGATGCTTTATAGAAATGTTATAACTAACACTTCTAGTATTCTTCAAGAGAGGAAATAATCTTCGAGTCGCAAATGTTTTATAATGCGTTGCGGCAAACCACCTAGCATATATAAAAGTACATGTTAAATAACATAATTTTTCGTTTACTATTAAAGTATTAGAAATTTTTTAAAAAAGGTAAGAATAGAAAAATATTAATGTATCTTAAGAATAATGTTGAAAGAATAGTTGCAACATTTTTTGTATTAATATTGTATCATTATATTATGTTATTAATATATAATTTAATATAATATATCCTAAAAATTTTGTACGATATAATATTATACATATATTATATCTTCCTGATGTTATACATACATATATTATATAATGCATACATATATTATATAAATATATTATATTATAATATTTATGTGTATAACAATATATTCATAATATTTTCTAGAATATGCACATATAAATAATGTAAATATAATATGAAATGTTACAGTATATATTTTAATATTTAAAATTCCATCATATTTATGTAAGATTAATATCTTGCATTAAAAAGTTGTTGATAATAAAAATATATGCTTGCGCAATTCAATAAATAATTTTTCTGATTTAATTATTTATTAGACAATTTTTTGCGAACTTTGAGAAAGAGAAAGAGAGAGAGAAAGAGAGAGAGTGAGAAATGTGTTTAAAGAACAATTTACTAAATCACACGAAATATGTTAAAACTATGTCTTGGTACCAATAATGCGAATTGTTTGCAAATAACTCAAGCAAGAAACAAACTTTTATAACACATATAGCTAATTATTTAATGTCTTAAAAATTTCTCACACTCTATTATATTGTTGATTTATGTAAAAAGTTCTAAAGCCTCCATTTTCAGCTAAAAGTCCAATAAACTTCATGTTCAGAGTGTGATATCCTCGTGATAAATCATATGGAAAAGAAATGTAAGTTTCATATGTTTCAGTGTTATAGATTAATTTCTTAGGTTCCTGGGCAAAAACTTTTTCTTCATTTCCTTTAGATATTTGTGTATTTTCTGTTACCATAATTTCAGCAGATTTTCCGAGTAAATGTATATATCTGGCATTTTATAAGGAATATAAATGCTGACATTGCATTCGCCGTAGAATATATCGTCGTTGACATATAGCATAAATTTGATGTAGTAATGTAACGGTGATATGTTGAGTGTCACCAATGATAGAGACGAATCAAAATTATCATTAAAAACAGCCATCACTACGATGAATATTAAATTGCAACTTAACACTCTCAAGAATGCCATGTCATTCATTCGTTTTAAATATCTAGAAAATAAACATCTTTTTTTCTTGAGAAAAGAGACTTATTGCTTTTATTACATATAAATAAAAAAAAGTAAATAAAAAATATTATATCTCCTTGTAATAATAAAATATATCCTTAGAATAAAAGAATTATAATCTTCCATTATAAATTTAATAAACGCATTGCTTTAATTTAATTTTATTAAATTTAATCGTATCACAATACACATTTCGTAAATAACCGTTTTATTTAATTTCAAATCAAATCGAAGTCATTTTAAAAATAATACAATAATATGCACATCTCAAATTAGAATCTTCTCTTTTTAATAATTTTAATAATGAATATAAAAAAAATTCTTTTCATAGTTACATTTCGCCAAAAAGTCTTTTTTGGCGAAATGTAACTATGCTTGTCATATGTTTGTACTTCGAAATTATTTAAATTGTCCTCAACGTATATAATGTACGCATTTAATTTTTTTTTCTTTTTGAAAATAACTATGTATTCTATTTTATTACAACTTACCTTGTATATTATAATACCAGCCGATCAGAATTTACAGTTTTCCGTATCAGATAATATATAATTAAGAATAATTAACTCTTTATTATTCCGAATTTTATTAATATCGAAAATATATCTGAATTAACTTGATCTTGCTGTTTCGGGATACTATTGAGAAGTGCTAAAGTTCGACATGTGATATCATAATAAGTACGTTATTGAAACAACTTTGAAAATCAAAACAATATGAAATCAGTTTAATACTTGACTTACCACTTAATAAACACAATAAAATGTCAAGATAAGATTAAACCAACTTTCAGAGATATATATATATATATATATATATATATATATATATATATCTGAAAGTTATAATATAATATAATATAGATATATATATATATATATATATATATATATGTATATGTATATAAAATTTTAAAATAATTTTGAATCACAATTAATAATAATTAAAAAATTGTATTCTCTCTATACTTTTAAATTTTTTCCTATGAGCAAACAATCCAACTGGTTATATCTTAATTTATTGGCTCTACTTGTAAATTTATCAATGTCCAAAATTAATATTTTCTTATTGTATTGTTACGTCCAGGCCCGAGGAAGGATGGGCCGAAGGAAGGGCGTAACACTTGTATCCCGAAAACAGGTGCCTTAAGAGTAAAAGTTTCGGGTCGAGCGAGCCTGCGGATGAGCCAAAGATAGGTCAACGACCATCAGGGGTCGATTTTACGCTATTTCTGGTCCAAATGCCCGCTCGTCGGTCCCCTTTTTGGTAAAGGAACTTAATCCTTTTTACCCGGGACGGGACCAAGTGCGATTCAGGAGCGTGGGTGATGAGGGGGGAATTGATTAAGTTGGATTCGAAAGAAATAAAATTAATTAAATTTATTGTACATTATAAAAGAGATAAAACTTACATAAATATTTTAGTTACGGCTCTAGTACAATATTAAGTGTGATTGTTTGTATGTGTGTGGATGCATTAAGCGTGATTGTGTGTGTATGTGTGTGTGTGTATTAAGCGTGATTGTGCGAGACGGAGAGTTCCACTAGGGAAGCGATTATTAAAGGAAGATGGGGGAAGAGGAACTTAATAAATAAAAGATAAGACTTACTATTTGAAAAGCGTGGACAAATCGATAAGAGGAAGATGGGGGAAGAGGAACTTAATAAATAAAAAATAAGACTTACTATTTGAAAAGCGTGGACAAATCGATACAAATTATTGCTGGGCCCCCTTGGCGTTGAGGATGGCGAGATATTAGCGCTGAATTGGTTCTGGATATAGTTGTTGAAGAGGGTGGTTGCTGCTGGGCCCTCTTGGTTAAGATTTTTGCACTGACTCGATAAGCAAGTATACAACCGAGCAACTACGTAAGTATGTAACTGAGCAAATAGGTGAACTAGCAAGCGAAGAAAGAATGAATGTATGTCTGACTAATTGTGTTTTTTTGAGCGTCGATTTGTCCAAAGTTCGCGCTTATATATCGTTTTACCCTCTCCCAGCGTGAGGAATAAGGGAAGTTGACGAATAGAAACCCTCGTTAGATTTCTGTGGTCACCTTCCTGTCCCTACTTATGAACATTTTAAAACAAATGCAACAAATCAGAATTTTATTACATTTATCCGCGAATAGGAGAGCATCTTCCAAAACGGGGGACTTAGGATTCTCAGTATCGGAAGTGGTGATAATTTATGCTTTGTAAGATGCATCTGTTGGAGATAAGACGATGACTTTTACTACCCCTTTGAGATAAAACGGGTGCGTGTCGGTGACATCCGGTCACTCGCGTTTTGTAAATAGTTTTCTTTATTTTCTGTAGCTTGTTTGAATTTTGTGAGTTTTTTTTGTGATCAGAAAATATCAAATTCGTCTGATTGACTGCCGCCTTATTTAGCCAGATATAAAGCTACTTTTATCAGTCCGTGAATATCTGATTGTTGTTCTGGAGTATTTACTGAGAATCCTACTTCAATTTAACTATCATTAACGATTTTCGGAAGTCGTGCACATGTGCATCAGATAAGGGAAAGAAAAGAATCATGAGCTCCTCTGGATGTAACATTATCTTGCTCCAATTATCATACCGTACTGGCTCTTGCCAATTTTTAATTAATTAATAATTAATAATTAATAATTAATAATTAATAATTAATAATTAATAATTAATAATTAATAATTAATAATTAATAATTAATAATTAATAATTAATAATTAATAATTAATAATTAATAATTAATAATTAATGATTAATGATTAATAATTAATAATTAATAATTAATGATTAATAATTAACAATTAATAATTAATGATTAATAATTAATAATTAATAATTAATAATTAATAATTAATAATTAATAATTAATAATTAATAATTAATAATTAATAATTAATAATTAATAATTAATAATTAATAATTAATAATTAATAATTAATAATTAATAATTAATAATTAATAATTAATAATTAATAATTAATAATTAATAATTAATAATTTAATTATTTATTATTTATAACTTGCACTTTATCACTACTCAAAATGCGGTTAATGATACATGTCACTAATGACATATATGACACATCATTAATATCGAAAAGCGTCGCTAGAGCAATCTTCTGTCGAGAGTAGGAAAAGGACGTTTTCTCTTTCTATGTGTTATGTACATGTACGTTGATGACGACCATGATGATAAAGACGTTTCTTAATTGAAAATTTTCATATTTCGACTTTGCATTATGATATCTCCGTTAATAGATCACGCAGCGCAAAAATAAAGATATTTTCTTTATACAATTCAAACTCGCTCTATCGATTAAGGCTAGTAAGAATTCGATCCATTCAGGCGTTATTGAAATCCGATAATCTAAGTTACTCTCAACTGTCCGACTCGCGTATAGATACACGAAGTGCCGCGCAATGCTTCGCATGAACTTGGCGCGAGACACTACCGTGTCTCTTGATAATTATTGTAAAAAACATCTCAATTCAATAATTTGTTATATTAATTCAAAAATTTATATTTAAATAACAGATAATTTCAAATCAAATCATACTTTTAAGTTTTAATATGTATGATAATAAATTATTTGCTATATGAATAACAATAACGAGGCTTACAAGCAGCTTAAATGTTCTTCATATTATATATCCCATTCATTGCTACTAATCAATCTTTCAACAACTTCGTCTTAGCAAAACAAACCGATCATTGGGTTACATTAATTATAATTTTTCATTATCACTTTTCAGCTTCGAGTATACTTTATCAAACATTATGTTTTTCATCACTTTCGAGAAAGTGCCCGTTGTTCAAGGATAACCAAGTACGATCGCCAAAGTTTTCAAAGGATGAGTCAAAACTTTGGGGATAACTGCATGTCATTATCTCGCCTGTTCCTCTTCTTCTTCTTTTCCTGGGCGAAGCAACAAAAAAGGAACTGACCTTTAAAGGAACTGAGCTATCTCTTCTTCATTTAACTCATAACTTTATCGATCCAGGGTACGAATTTCTGGATATTGGTGTATACACCAGGCAAGTTTTTGCGACCACAGCCGATGCCCCAAGAAACCAAACCGATCAAAACGTGTCTGCCTTCCACTGATATCGTAAGCGGTCCACCCGAATCACCCTATAACAAATTGACTTGTACACATAACTGTATAGTTCCATGTGTGTTTACCTAATTATCTTATCAATATTAAACATATATTTTTCTTCGATCATTCTGTATATCTTATCTTATTACTTGACAAGAGTCCCGTCCTCCTTCTTTATAACCTGCGCACAGGAATACATCGTAAATGATCTCTCTACTTCCAGCTGTTCTGAACCATTCCTGACATTTGTCATTCGGTATTACCTGAACAAAGATATACAACAATAATGTATAAATATATGTGTATATCTCTTTATATAACTCTTCTTTTACAGTAAACTTTTGTCACAGAGCCTTTCATTCAATATACAGGGTGGACCATTTTAATCTATAATGGAAAATATCTTGGAATGTTGGTGAGATACAACAAAATGTTTTAGATAAAAGTTGTAGGGGGCAAAAGGGAACATAAGATGGTGTCATTAGTTTGATCTTGAAGAGCCACCTGAAGGACACGCGAAGGTCAGCTCCAACTTTTTAAATGGGACACCCTTTATGCTTTTGCATATTCTTGTAGCTCATCTCAAGAGCTTTCCAAAACACTATAATTAAGTTAGTTTTCATTAAGTACTTTCCAAGTTATGAGGCTTGAAATCATTTTTTAATTTTACATAAACCGTAAAATATCTTGTAAAATATTCATTTTTCGATTATTTTACCTTAATACTTTTATGTACAAAATAATGAGAAGAATCAATTGGTGTAAAGAAAACTCATAGTTGTTTCGAAAAAAAATATGTAATTTGCAATTAACAATTACATATTTTTTCTTAAAAATAACTATGTCTTTTCTTTACACCAATTGATTCCTCTCATTATTTTGTACATAAAAGTATTAAGGTAAAATAATCGAAAAATGAATATTTTACAAGATATTTTACGGTTTATATAAAATTAAAAAATGATTTCAAGCCTCATAACTTGGAAAGTACTTAATGAAAACTAACTTAATTATAGTGTTTTGGAAAGCTCTTGAGATGAGCTACAAGAATATGCAAAAGCATATAGGGTGTCCCATTTAAAAAGTTGGAGCTGACCTTCGCGTGTCCTTCAAATGGCCCTTCAAGATCAAACTAATGACACCATCTTATGTCTTTTGAAACCATACAACTTTTGTCTAAAACATTTTTCTCTATCTTGCTTAGGTTCCGAGAAATTTAGATGGTCGGATTAAAATGAAACACCCTGTATATTAATAATTTAAAATATATTATACATAATGTTTTATGTAAATCTTATGAATATATTAATGTGTATGAAACATTATTTAAAATTAAAAAAGAAAACTGTAAAAAAATATAAATACTACACTGAAAAAACTGATTGGTAATAATTATCAAATATATTTAGTTGTGAATTTTAATTGAATATTTGATAAATATTACCATATTTTATAATGATTACTAAATCTTCAATTGATCTAGTTGCAAACAAATTTTGTTTGCAATTGAATCAATTAAACAATTTAGTAATAATTATTAAATATTTAATACTTATCATAAAATCTTTGATGACTGTTATTAAATATGTATTAAATTATTGTAAATATTACTAAATCATTCAATTTAAGATTATTAGATATTTGATAACTATTATTAAATGATTTAGTTAGATCAACATGTTTGATAAAATAATTGGTAATTATTAACAAATTTTGGTAAGATAGTCGTGTAAAGTTTCGCGTAAGAACGCAAGGATATGTTAGTTTGTTCGTTCATCGCTATACGACGTAAAATGCGCTATCTTTCTCGTATTTAAGTTTAGTTATGAGAATTATATAAAGCTTGCAAAGAGTAACAAATAAGATTAAAAATATATTATTTAATTTCTGATTTCTCAATACAAGAATTTCAGATATTAAATTGATTTTATAAGTCGGATAAGTAAATGTCCGGCAAATAAACAAAAATAATCCGTTCATTATTTATTTAAAATGTAAAGTGCAATATGCAAGTATAAATTATAAATAAAAAATAATAATTAAAAAATTTGATTTTAATTAATTTTAATTTTAATTTTTTAATTTCTCGTTATCATGATTTAGTTAAAATTACCAAATATCTGATAATACTTATTAAATATATTATTTTCTGCTACCAAAGTTTGATTACAGTTATTAAAGTTTTGTTAAACGAATCAAATATGTAATTGAATGAATTAAATTTAAATAGTCTAAACTAAATATTTTATTTACTCAATTAATTTTTTTTGTAATTGTTACCACACATTTAATTAGAACTATTTGCCCAAATCATTTAGTAATTGTTATTAATTCTAGTGTTTACTACTAAATTCTTTTTTCAGTATATAAATACTATAAATAATATTATTATATATGTTATACATGTATAATTCGCTTTCGAGGATACGAGATAATTTGAATTTTATCATCAAAGGCAAATAGTCGGGCGAGAGTGTACTCACTTCGACGTCGACTTCTTGAAGAACGGATGGTGTCCAACCGGACACCATCCGTTGGCTGGTCTGTCCCCAACCAACGACAGTTGCGGTTCTGCCGGAGAGCTCCAAATTCCTCTCCGGCAGGCAAATCGGGACAATGTGCTGCTTGAAAATTACCGTCCGAGACAGCTTAATCAAAGCCACGTCGTTTCGATTGTCGCTAGCAGAATATTGTGGGTGTACCTATTATTATTATGATTTGTAGCGTCATCAAGCGATCACCTTTTGTCTCGATGAGATAAGATTTTGTATAAAAGAAAGTATCTTGTATTTTCTTTTAAATATTCTTAGATTAATAAGACTTTAAAGATATCGATATTTCAAAATACATAATACTTGAAGAAAAAATTATATATTTTTATATAAAGCAAAACCTTTATTCTTTCGATGTTGAATTCCTCGTAAGGCAGTCCGTCCCGAAAATCCCACTCTCCAAGTCGAATTTTCAAAATATTGGGTGTCCTGGAACGCGAAATATGCATCGATCAATATTCTTATTATACCACTTACGATAATAATGTCACGATACTAACATGACACAGTGAGCCGCGGTGACGACCCATCGATTGTTCAGCAAGACACCGCCGCAAAGTAGGCTCTTGTTGGGAAATTCTAACTTTATAATAGCGGCCTGTAACAGAGCGAACATCGAGAGGTTCATTTAATAGTGCATTACATGAAATATGCATTCGAGGCCGCGTTACGGCTCGCGGAAAAGATTTAATAGATTATTATTCCCTCCTTCTTCCTCCCTCTCTCTCTTCTTCTCGCTAGACGCGCAAATTGATGGCTCGTTTCCGATGAATAATGCAGAAGAAAGGAAGAGTTAGGTGTCCTTCCGCGAGAGCCGTGCGAGAGATATTTATGGTGGCGAGGAGGAGGAAACTGCGAGAAGAACCTCACCTGCCACGGATGGCTGCCGAAACTAGACGAGTGGCCGCCGACAATCTTGTTGCTCTTGTGGATCACGCCGCAGTCTGAAACAACGAGTCATCATTAATGTAAGTCGAAAATCAACGAAGGAGGAAGTGCCTGAGAGATAAATTGCGATAGACATTATGTGACGCGAAGTGACGTCTCTTCGGGTGAGACGAAAGATTGCAGAGCTGCTATTTGTGTGATTCGCGTCGTGAAGGAAGAAAATGAAAATATGAGGTACCGAAAGGATAGTAAGCTTATACTGAAAATTTTTCAACTGATGCTTTCTACAATTATATATTGCGTGCAATTAAATTTACTCGCTGTGTTGTTTGCGGCTTGAGAGACAGAAAGCAGAAAATAAATACGGCAAGTTATCATAAGTGTAGAAAGTTCACGCAACTTTAGAGAATATATTGCAATTTTATTACCGGGATGAAAAAATATTATTCAAGATTTTATTATTATTGAGCGATCTAATAGAAATTATTAGATGCTATCTATCAGTGATCAAGATAAGAGAATAGTTGGACTTTAAGTGTGCAGAGACGAATGTACAGAATTATAGCTTCAACGAAATACACGAGACGAAACTATGACGAATTTTGTAAAACAGAACAATTATAATAACAATTATATAACAATTATAATATAGTCGTTTTATCGATTATAATATAGTCGAGCGTATCCAAACTGATAATCAAGTGCGCCTAGAAGACCTTGGAAATTTTAATCCGCTGCAACGAGTATAATAAAAGCACAAAGTCGATTAGGCATTGAAACCGTATATTTTTTAATTGCATCCTCGATGAGTTCAGTTTTCCGTGTTACGCAGGGACAGCAAAAGTTTTGCGCCCAACAACCTCGGAAACATCTGAACTCGTCGATTAATCGGTTTCATAAATCTCGACACATATCGTGCTCGACACATATTGGCATGCAATATGCAACAGGTCTGCGTGTGCATCTGCGATTATCACGGTATTTAGAGTAGTCCACAGCAGCGTTGGAGGCTTCCTCAAACGTCGACACGTGTATATCGGAAGCGTGGGACGGATATCTACCGTTGTACTTGTCCTGCGAAGGGAAGATCGTGTGATGCGGTGGCCGGGAGGTGGTGGACGTAGGTCGACGGTTTCTAGACAGTCTGGGAGGATTCGTCGTCGGTTTGCTCGTCGGTGGGGGTCGATGGGGTCCCCTCTGGGCTGAAAAAATTGATTGGTAATAATTATCAAATATATTTAGTTGTGAATTTTAATTGAATATTTGATAAATATTACCATATTTTATAATAATTACTAAATCTTCAATTGGACTAGTTGCAAACAAATTTTGTTTGCAGTTGAATCAATTAAACAATTTAGTAATAATTATTAAATATTTAATACATATCATAAAATCTTTGATGATTGTTATTAAATATGTATTAAATTGTTGTAAATATGACTAAACCATTCAATTTAAGATTATTAGATATTTGATAAATATTATTAAATGATTTAGATCAACATGTTTGATAAAATAATTGGTAATTATTAACAAATTTTGGTAAGATAGTCGTGTAAAGTTTCGCGCAAGAACGCAAGAATATGTTAGTTTGTTCGTTCGTTTACGACGTAAAATGCGCTATCTTTCTCGTATTTAAGTTTAGTTATGAGAATTATATAAAGCTTGCAAAGAGTAACAAATAAGATTAAAAATATATTATTCAATTTAATTTCTGATTTCTCAATACAAGAATTTCAGATATTAAATTGATTTTATAAGTCGGATAAGTAAATGTCCGGCAAATAAACAAAAATAATCCGTTCATTACTTATTTAAAATGTAAAGTGCAATATGCAAGTATAAATTATAAATAAAAAAATAATAATTAAAAAATTTGATTTTAATTAATTTTAATTTTAATTTTTTAATTTCTCGTTATCATGATTTAGTTAAAATTACCAAATATCTGATAATACTTATTAAATATATTATTTTCTGCTACCAAAGTTTGATTACAGTTATTAAAGTTTTGTTAAACGAATCAAATATGTAATTGACTGAATTAAATTTAAATAGTCTAAACTAAATATTTTATTTACTCAATTAATTTTTTTTGTAATTGTTACCATACATTTAATTAGAACTATTTGCCCAAATCATTTAGTAATTGTTATTAAATTCTAGTGTTTACTACTAAATTCTTTTTTCATTGTGGCTGTGCGACGGCCTGCTGGGCCTAATTGCGTTCCCGTAAATGTGCTCGTCGTCATCCACGTACGACTGTTGGTGCCCGAGATTTATGGAAAACACTGGGCAACGATGTTGCTGTTAGCTACTCGGAATCACTCGCGTCGCGTTAAGTCCAGTAACATCGAGATTATGCAGGATATATACAGGGTATATCTTCTCTACGAGAAGGTACTGAAATTAATCAGCTGTCATTTTTAAACACATACAGAGAAAGTAAAATATTCTAATAAAGGATGTTTAAAAGTTTTATTTACATATAGACTAAAGATACTCGGAGATATTTTTATTATTTATAAAAGTGTAAACAATTTTATAAGGATATAATATATATTTTTGATCAAGCTCTTCTTGGAAACTATAGAGAATTTTTAAAGATATACTTTCGATATTTTATCGTCAAAATTGAAATAGATACCAAGTCTTTTTCGTAACGAATGACATATCGGAAAAAAAATATGTAAAGTTTTTTAAAATATATCATTGACATTCTTTTATAAATATTTATTAAATGGATAAGAATATCTCCGATTATCCATATACAAATAAAACTGTGAAATGTCCTTCATTAAAAGATACTTTTTCTGTACTTTATGTACGTTTAAAAATGACAGCTGATTAATTTCTATAATTTCCCATGGGATATTCTGTATACACTTCAAAAATAATTAAGAATATATAATTGTCAATTTAATAGGCAGACGACATTTTATAATCCCAGGATTAAAAAGATCATAAATATGATTTTTCCCTCCACTTCTACTGTATAATATGCTCTCTTATAACTAAAGAGTACGAGAAAAAGTCGCTTATAATTATTCATATATTATAAACAATATAATAAAACATAGAGTATGTACAATAATTGCAATTGTTGTTGTTCCGTCGGTGACATTATTTCCTTGTGTTCCTAATCGCGCTATTGTATTGATGTTGGCGCGATTACGGTGAGCGACTTGCAGCTTGAGAAAGCCGCGTAAGTTCTGCGAGCGCGTAACGCGTTTGCCGTCGTAAACTAGGTGTGAATAACTGTATTTGAAAGTGCCGACCATATACTCCGTAAGTGCTCGTTCGCGCGACTCTAGCTGGACGCTGCCGGTTGTATAATTTCGGATGTCACCGGATAGAAATAAGGTTATTTCCAGCCACACAGTGTCTCCTTTCGATTAAACGTAGATAAATTAGATGTTCCCAACCTTCTCCCAATCTAATCAGGGTTTAACCCTTTGACTTAATAGAAATAACGTTACACAACATTTCCCAGGACGCTAAATTATGGTCATGTATTCTTTTTACTTCACTTCGTTTCTTTTTCAGATAATTACTTCGAATAAAGAAATCAAGATTAGACCATTCACAGAGTAATCAAATTTAAATATGTTTACTGGGAATCTCGTTCTCTCTCAAACGAGTCGCGCTGAAAGCGTGATACAACCAGGAGGTCTCGGTACAGAAAGTCTCGGTTTAGCGACATTCGAGGACAGGGACTCTCTTTGAGGATGTTGTAAATTTATAGAAGCACGACGATGAAAAAGACCTCAAGAATTAATTGTTGGGAAGCATTGTTGGAATAAAAATTCTTCCGTGAGATAAAAACATACGGCGTTTCTTTCGCTTCTAAATGATAATACAAAGAACAATTTGCAAGTTTATCAATTAAAATCTACTCATTTTTGTGGAGATTATTTTTCGATGGATGCTACCGGATATTCTCTCGGCTCTAAAAATGATCTGCAAAAATAACTTACTGGCATTCTGTGGCAAGCCGATGGTCGGTCGTATCTTCTTATTCACGCAGCAGCTCCATCTTGAACCGGAACAGAGCTTGACAGGTCGACCACCGCCGAAAACGCAGCTAATACTAAGGTCGCACTTGAACTTTTTGCCTTTGTACATGCACGTTTGCGGCATCACTGAAACAGATTGTGTTGGATTTCACATATAAATTTCACGTCTAAATATCTCCACGATAAATCGTTTTAATATCGATGTAAATAGTTTTAATATTAAATGGTTTTAATATTAATATACAAGCGGAAGATTTTATCAAGGGAAAAGATTTAGTTAGGATTTCTTTCAATAATGTAATAATGGAGAAGCAGTTAATTTCAATGTGAAAATCTGTCACGATATCAATGTGTTTCATCTCACGCAATTCCAGTTTTAATCGTGCTAATTACACCATTTTGCGTTGCGTTTTTCTTCAGAAGATTAGTGTCTATGAAGTTCACCTAAAAAAAACTCCACAACAAGTGCGTCATTAATTGACTTTTGATTGACATGTTGTTATTATTAATTTACTTCAATAATAGAAAATCAGTGATATTCAATATCAAATTTTGTTTTATAAAATCTCGAAAGTATCATATATAAGATGATGAATCACTTGTTTTGCTAATTTAGTATAATTTTATATATTTTGTTTATTATTTTATTTTTTATATTTATCTATTTTATCTATATTTTACATCTCTCTTTACATTTTATTCATCAACCTATAGAGTTCACTCTCAGGATCGATATATGTTACTCGACTGAAAGCACTTTTAATCCTTTCGATAACACCAGCGGTAACATTATTTCCGTTTTATTTTTCGATTTTACAAACATACTTCTGCCCAGCATATCCATAAAGCCGCTCTGGAGATTGAAACCATGCCCTCGATGATCAGTGGTGTGATTTCGCTTCTTCCTGAGTGTCTCCACCAGCAGAACATCTTGCTGCTGACTGGTAAGTTTTCTCCTTCTGCCCTGACGATGTCCACTCAACAGCTCTTCGAATTCTCCATTCAATTTCTTCTGTCTAATGTCATCTAGAAATTCCTGAACGTTAACTTCTTCCTCCAGCTCGTCTTGTGGGTCTTTCTGGAATACATTCTGCGCGCTCCAATCTATTTCCTTCTCATCTTCTTTTGCGTTTTGATCCAGGAACTCTTGCTGAACGTCCTTGGAGAATATTGCATTCTGCGGATATTCCGCGTTCTCCAATATGGCGTCGGCAGCTTCATCGCCGTACGGAAAGTTCGAAAAATACTAATATTGCTCGACCTTATCCAAAGACGGTCTGCCTATCACGTTTTTCAATGGCTCGATTTTCGCGCTTCACATCCTGTCTCGTCTTGACGGTACCGAGATTCCAGAGATTCTGCTGCTCCTCCGAATCCTCGGCAACCGCGAATCTTCTCGGTGAATTTTGTAGAACGTCGCCCTTGAATGGATTCGATGATCTCGATCTGTAAGTCGAATGTACACTAGATCATTGCAAGCGAGCTTCTTTAACCTTGATTGATGAAACCGGTCGGCTCGTGGCCGCGATTTTGACATCCTCTTTGCGTTTCCATGAGTAGTTGTCATGATCGAGAGCGCCGGCTATCAGGTGATCAGAAGCATCCCGAGCACGATATTCATGGTCGATTGTAACTTTTATTATTTCATAGATATCTTACACGTCATTGTCTCACTGCACACGAGAAAAATCAACGGAAGGATAATTCACGATAAGAATAATTCAAGAATGGTCCATTTCTTCGAACCATTGATGACAACTAATGAAGAAGAAGGATGTCAAGATAAAATCGAGTTTTTCCAAAATTATTCAAGGAGAAACTTGATTTAGTTGAGAGCTGTAAAGTCCCTTTCAAGCTTTGACTAGTTTAAATTTCACTGGCATAAACGAAAAAATTAATTGATTAGCATACGATTTCTTTGACTCATCAACTTCTTGTTTTTCTTCCTCTTCCGAACAGTAACTTCCACCTCCTGTTCGATGATCAATTAATATTGATATCTTTTAAATAAATTTTAAATTTCAAGTACATTTAGTATGATTCAATCATTAATTAATTCTGAATTATAGAGATTATTCTTTATGACTATCTTATACGATAAAAGACTTGATTCACGTTTTTCTCACAAATCTCTAGCTTCATCGAAGATTCCGATGAGATACAATGTCTCGGACGATCCTTACGATCCAATGTAGATTTTTTGCCATTTTGGTATCACTTATTCCTTTTGGAGTAACTTCGAATGCGTTGCAAATTTTTCTGTAAGTTTCAAGATGACAATTGACGAAGTTTTTTTTTCAAAGATCGAGTAATACGTGTTTGTACGATCGAGAAACCGGTTCAAAGGTCTTGAAGGCTTTTTATGACACTTCACCGAGAAATGGCGGAGAGGCCGTGACAATGCACGCCTTCTGCACGTGGACTAGCTCAAGCCGATGTCCCACGAGTCTCGATTCGGATCTAAGGAGGCGTCCGTTGCTTTCACCTGCATCAGCTTTCCCACAACAGCAGTGTCGTTGGTCCTACATTGGTTCCCCACCTTGGCCATCGTCCGAATGCTTATTTTCCATTTCTTTCTTCTCTAAATTATTTTACCGCGGGTTTGTCGTACTCTCAATTGCGGGAAAAGATTTAAGCCACAATCGTTTCACGAGAGTGGAAAACAAGGGTGGATTTTATCACCTTTTTAACACATCCATTGTCAAATTTAAGCTATTTTATGTTTTGTTTCTGTTATTGATATTTTTTTTAATACTAACAAAATATGATAAAGAGAGATTAAGTATCAAAAAATTGCATACTTTCCAATGTATTAATTTTATATTTTTTCTTTGAAATTTAATAATTTCGTCAGTAACAATATATGTCATCTTGTTTAAAAAATAATTAAATAACATTTATTCTTTAATATTATCTTAGCACTCAAAGACCTGAATTAATAAAAATTTAAAAGTATTTTGCAAAATAATTCTTCATAAAAAATTATATTTATTATATATATAAATAAAAGATATAAGATTATTTTCTATTCTATAGAAAATTTTCTATTATAAAGAAAAATGTTTTTGAGAAACCTGATTTCGATTGACTAGAATGATTATTTCCATCGAATAGATTTGACACACTGAAATGTTGTGACCCAATTTCATCGCATGGTTTCATTGAAAGTATTTTTATTTTTGAGAGTAAATTAACATACATTAACACGGAATATTTACTTTACTACCACACTACTATACTACTCATTAAGTTCAATTAAGAAAAAATAAGATTAAAAGAATAATATCAGATAATATTTATATTATGATGCACATTAACTACCATTTAACAGAAATTAACTACAACTAGATGCTTAAATTGTACTAGTTAAACCGTGAAATTTCATCGTTAAGTGAATTAATTAAAATTTCAGCAACTGCTACAGGAAAGGTAATTTAGTGAGACTATAAAGTAGCATTTCATTTTCGGTACAAAGAAAGATGTAAACCTAGTAAAGCGCGCTTTTAACGACAGAGACAAGATCCACTAAGGTCGCAGTGAAAACGAGAACTTCCGTGCGCTTCATTATAAATATTCTTGTAGAAAGTAAGCGTCAATAAGTGGCCTTTCAAGTACGATTCCGATTTCGTCTCCCTTGTTAACTCAACTGTGAATTTTTCTCGTGTTCTCCTCAAATTTACGGTAGAAAATATTACTCGCAATCTCCTTTCGTGAGAAATGTCAAAATGATTACGACGCCAAATAAAATATTGTTCAAAAAGAGAATCGTCGAAACTGGCGTATCCGAGCCATAGCGGATGGTAATGCCTAAAAATACTTTAATTGTACGCGAAAATGTAAACGAGAGCAAGGCATATGCATATATTTTATTTGGTGCATTTACCAAGATATATAGATTCTCATTTTTGAGAAATTCTATAAAAACCCTCTTTATTCCCCTGAAGAGACGTAGACGAGAAAAATATCGGGACGAACGTCTCTATGGCTCGGATACGCCAATTTTCTTATCTTGTTGTTTAATAAATATTTGTTAATTGTACTATAATATTTGCTAAGGTTAATTATATAATTAAAAAACTTTAATTATATAATTAAAAAAACGATGATGTGTTTTTTATTTGGCACTAATTTGAATATAACTATTGCAAAATAGCGAAAAAACGTTAAATTAATTATAAAATGATATAGGTCATTGTCTTAGTTTATAAATATACATATCCGGTGAACGTTAACCGGTTTGCCATCTTAAAATCTTTCCTATCAGTTATATAACCAGTTATAATACCTATCAGTTATAATCAATTATAATCAGTTATAATACCTATCAGTTTCTCGAGTTATCTTTATTGCTCGGAGATACGTGTAAATGCATGAATTATTTTTTTTCACGTTATTTAATTACTATTCGAAATTATTTTTAGGGAAGAGAGGCAAAACCAAATATATCGTTTACCATTTTGACCGCATTGATATGTTACATAGAAAAGATAGGGATGTGCGAGGAGGTTAAACATATCTATATATCCATTTGGCCAACGAGCGCCAGAATCCATCCGTGGCAACAGCATCGACGCATATCCTGTGAAGAGAGCATTCACACAAGAGCATTTGTCAGCCCAACGAATAATTACTAGAAAACAATATTTGTGGACTAGAAAAATATGTGAGATGCAAGTGGCTGAATCGAAAATCGAACCCAAGTCTTTCGTTTTCCGGACAATTGCTCTGGACCACTGAGCTATCCCGACCTCATACCTAATGTTGTTTTTTAACACAGTGATATGCGATTCCAGAGCGATGTTGGTATCTCGCTTGATGGATACAATGCCGATTGCCACGGAGGATCCCTGAAAGGTCGCTCGCTGACCAAATAAGTGACAGTGGAGGTATTCGCGCCCACTGCATGTTGGCTTCCGACTGGCCTTCCATAAGAAACGATACCGACGAGCACAATCATAGTGACATCCCTCAAGATCCCTCTGAATAACAATATCCTCACTGCCAATAACAGTGGTGGACCTTAAATAGGGCCGTGGCAAGCTTTCATCGTGGCAACCCTATTTTTTTATGGCAATCATTCTTTAATTGTATTTAAATTATGCTTAAACATTGCGATAGCAGTGTAAAAGGCGCGAGTCCTCCATTCATTTTTTTAACTGACGTGGGAGAGATTCATTTATTATTCACAACGTACGAGCGGCTTTTCTCTTTCGAAACAATTCTTAAAATTCATTTTAAAGCCTACTTTTAAAGTCTATTACATTCACGATAACGTAATTTAAACAGGCAAGACCTCGTGGCATACTTGAAGCAATATAATATAATATGTTATACTATATATAAATATAATAATATTATACTTACATCCACGTTTATTGACAAATCTCATCTCTTGTCCATGTGAAGCGAACGCATTTTCGAAAATTTCCTCTTTTTCCACCTGATCTAAAAAAAAACATTTTTCATTATTTAAATCAGTAAATCATTTCATTATTTAAATCAGTAATTATTTTCATTGATACAACTGGAAATATAGTATAAATCTATTTACCAAAGTTCTTCAAAAATAGATTGTCCTTTCTGGTATTAGGGAGACAGCAGATATTAGCGATTAGAAGTAGCGTGATAAGTGCATCAGTTTTGAAAGCAACCATTTCTCTCCTCGGCCGTCAACGTGAATATGCGATCCACTGTTCGCCAATTATGTTCGATCGTTTTTGATCCGACATCGGATTATTTTGCCATCTCTCCCTCGATTTCACTTTGAAATCAGAGTTTTCCGACGCTTTTCTCGTCGCTGTTCCACTAAAAAAGCAAAAAATACTCAAATAAAAAAGGGCATCGTGCCTTTTTACACATTTTTTTTACGCAGAGTGATCTGCTCGTTACAATTGGGCGAAATAAAATTTGTTTTACCGTCGCGTTCGAATGGCCGCGAGGAGTTCAAAGGGAAGCCAATAATACTCGGTGGACCTCGATGTGGAAAGTGATAATTGTTAGTCGGAACCGTGAAAAAAAAATCCACCTAGCAAAAACATGATTTTGAGAGGAGTTCGTTTGTAAATTTTTTTTAATGCAACAATTTTTGTGAGTTTTTCGCATTATGTAATGTTTTATTTTGTTTTATTATTTTACAGGTTTATTTTATTTATAGAACTTTTAAATATATGTATAGATTGCAAAATTTATATAAGTCCATTAATGTGTTCTACGCGCGTTTAGTACTTTTCCCATCCATTTTATCCTGGATTGTACGAAGATCACATACTGGGTTATCTCGAGATGAAAATTAGATAATTGTTTCACGCAAAAGGTTTAATACGGAACTGACTTGAGCATAATAACTTAAAATTATGTCATTCTTTCACGCGAAATTTCTTCACAAAATTATTTATTTATTCTATCTTACATGCCTTAAAATTAATAGCATATACATTTTATTTTTGTTTGTATTTTGGAATTATACAATCACTCTTGGATCATACAGATACATGCTGATATGCAGATTACGCGTGCGAATCTTTTTAACGTCAAAGATACGATATAAAAATATTAATTATGATGATCGCGACTAACGGACTTGCTCATCTCCGGTTTCCCTATCGATCTTGGCACTTGAGGATCTTTGTCCAGTTTCGATAATGAATTTCGGCTAGTTCGCTTAAATAATACGCGGTAAATTGAAGACGAAGAAAAGAGTGAAATATCACTTTCAACCATTGTGCCGTGAATTACGAGTTAAAACTCGTACACGAACTTGCTATTGTTTTTGACTACTCTACTTTCTTCATGTTTTTCTTCCATCTAATAAATAAAACGAGTTGCAGTACGCGCGCATACCTAGTGTATTCACCTAGTCTTAATTTATGTCATTAATTAACACATTATCCCTAAATACTTCTAAATATTCTTATATTTAAGAAAATATTTTTATCATTTATAAGAAAATATTTTTAATAAAATATTTTATTAGAAAAATATACATTATTTAAGTAATTCAGACGTGCATAGATTCTTCACAAATTTTTGTGCAAGAGTCCGAGCCGAAATTTTTATTTTTATTTAAATAAAAATTTTTATCTAAATAATTAAACAAATTAAGACAAAACAAAAAGCAATTACGAGCAATCACAAGATGTTGAGTGTGTAAATGTAAATTTAGTATATATTTAAGTGAACGTTTCGGTTCTTTCTTTGAACCATCTTCAACACAAAATACAATTTAAAAATTATAATTAATACATATATTATCGTTCGGTCGTTACAAAATTATAAAAACGGTCTAAAAACTAATTGTAAATGATAGCGATAAACCCATTGTATGTCAATATATGACAAAAAAACCAATATGTGTATATAACATCTAAACTCGAATTTCAAACTAATTACAGTGTTGGTCTGCTGCTTATCTCTCGTTGTTTAGCAAGGAAAGTTAATGATGTCCAGATCCTTGACAACAGTTATTAAATAGAGCACTACATTCGATCAACCGGGTACAAATACAATAAAATAATAATACAATAAAATAATAAAAAATACAATAAAATAATACAATAAAATAATAAAAAATAAAAAATTGAAATATATAAATTTTTAACGTACCAGCACGTAAACGCAGAAATATTTGTTAAAATAAAGTTATTACGTATAGAGGCTGACAATACACTCGCATAGGTCGTTCTCTTGTCTTATATACGCAGAGATACGCATATGTTGTTTATTACTTTTTTTTTTTATAACTTTATCTATCGTTGTAATGTACCCTATATTTCGTTTAAATTCTCAGTATCCGTCTGCAAATTGATAGCATTATCATGTTGTTGCAAATTCATAGTATTATCATTAGTATTGATAGTATTATCATGTTTAGAAATGATACATAGAATGAGACATTGTTGAAGATGGGTCAAAGTTGAAGATGGTTCAAAGAACCGAAACGTTCACTTAAATATATACTAAATTTACATTTACACACTCAACATCTTGTGATTGCTCGTAATTGCCTTTTGTTTTGTCTTAATTTGTTTAAATTTCTGACGAGCTGAATAATAATTTGTAATTCTAAATAATTAATTAAAAATTTTTGTTTAAATAAAAATGCGAAAGGAAGAAAGATTTAATAAAATTTAATAAAATTTTTTAAATAATTTTAAATAATTAATTAAAAATTTAAATAAAAATGCAAAAAGAAGAAAAGATACAGCGAAGCGCGTGGAGAACTTTAATCTTTGTCATGAATGTCTCCAAGAGTATATTTTCATGAACGAGCGGATAACTGCATGCATTGTTGCGCCGACAAGGACAGTTTTTCCGAATCAGTCCGATCACGTTTTAAAGAATTGAATGCACGTGTGACACGATGAGATCAACAACCTCACCTGGATTTCGATTAAGATCAAGGGCAACAATGTGTTTGAGATACCATCTGTGGAACACGATCTAACACTAAGTGACCTTTATAATTTTGTCGTAAATATTATTTACACTATCTGTGTCTTTCTGTAGGTTAATTAGATTATTAAATCTCTTGATAAAGAACATCTCAGCTATCTCTCTTTTACGAACGTACTTTTCATTATACAAGATATTGGGTTTCGACCAATCAAATTCGTGTCCGGATTCCAATCTGTGTTTGCTAATCATGGAGTGATTAGACTCATGCAATGTGTGATGTTTTTACAATTGTACCACGCACAAAAGTTGACGATATTTTAACCATTTTTAATAACTATCACGAACGTTTAAGATTCACGTACGAGAAAGAAATTGATTTTTCGATTAGTTTTCTCAGTGTAAAAATCATTCGGTTGGGAACAAAACTTATCACCAATTAGTTTAGGAAATCTACATGGTCTGGGAGATATATTAATTTTTACTCGAATCACCCGTTAAAATATAAAATTAATACTATTTATAATTTAGTTGACCATGCTATTTTACTATCTGACGACTGCTTTAAACAAGAGAATATTAAGTTAATATATGACACGTTAGTTAATAATTGTTTTCCTGAACACATTATTTATAGACACATTCTAAAAAAAATCATTTTTTTAAACAACCGCGACCTCAGTGATACTGATGACGCCAAGTCTACTCGTCCAGATAAAACTCATTTTATCACTATACCATACGTAGAGAATACGAGCCAAGATCTCTACCGTCTTCTACGAAACAGTAGTTTTAACGTCGTCTACAAAGTAACAAAAAAAACTAAATAACTTAATTAGATGTGGTAAAGACAGGTTACACAATAATGACAAGACAAGTGTTGTATACAAATTAAATTGTAAGGATTGCAATCTATCATACATTGGGCAAACAAAAAGACATTTGCGGACGCGAGTGAAAGAACATTTTAACAACATAAAGTTGCATGAGTCTAATCACTCCGTGATTAGCAAACACAGATTGGAATCCGGACACGAATTTGATTGGTCGAAACCCAATATCTTGTACAATAAAAAGTACGTTCGTAAAAGAGAGATAGCTGAGATGTTCTTTATCAAGAGATTTAATAATCTAATCAACCTACAGAAAGACACAGATAGTTTAAATAATATTTACGACAAAATTATAAAGATCACTTAGCATCGTCTTTCTTCTGGTTATGTTTAGTTCTTGACGAAGTCTCACACGGACACATCAACTTCTCTCTAATTTGAATCCAGTTAAATAACGTTTTTCTTTTATTATGTGATTGCGTTGTTTTACATGTTTACCATTAACGCCTGCCTTCTGATTATTATTACATCGGTAAAAATTGTTTCACACTTTAATTCTTTGTGCGTTACTATGTATTCAAACCGTTAATTTAATTAATTAATTTATTTATAAATTCTTTCTAGTGTATACTTGATAAGGACCTCAACCATATGGTCGAAACGTCGTATTAATAAAATTAATTTTTTGGCTAGTTTGGTCGACTACAATTTTTCAATGATCCTTTTATTAGTAGTAATTTTTTTTTCTAAATTATTAAATTCAGGTTAATAATTCAATTTTTGTTTTGCGATCTTGCTTAAGTGGCCAATCACTATACTGTTTACCCCTATACGGTATCACTCTTTTAATTTAAAAGAGAGAAGAAGAAGAAACAAAAAAGCGACAAGATAGTCACATAGCTTTAACGCTCGCATGGACTATACAAACCATTAAAAGAATGTCGATCGGATCCATATTTCGTATATATTTCTTCAAAATTTCAATTTATGTGTTCTAATTGTAATATCTAGTTTTCTACAATTTTATCAGTCAGGACATTTATAACAAATGTTTCTTTCACTACTATCAGTTGTAAGTTTATGTATTTATACGACGAATACAATAGTCAAAAATGAAAGAAAGCTTGTTAGTCCCACCGCCCCCCCCGTCGTTCGTAAAGTATCCTAAATAAACATGATTTCAGTTTACCTACTATAAATGCCTACAAATTTCTCATTTTCTGCATATGTCGATAAAACCTCTCCTAGAAGATTATTATTAAAATCACAAATATGAAAGAAAATGTAAGAAAAATAAAATAAATTTCTTAAAATTTTAGTATAGAAATTTTAAAACATTCCTACATCGTTATGACAATGGCAATTGCTCGTCGTCGTATTTTAATTATAATATCCAATTTTTCTTTAGTCAACTCAGAGGAAAAT